TTTATTTGTTTATTTATTTATACGTGTAAATCGTGCTTCTTTTGTTCCAGGTTGGAGTTTCAACCTATGGTGGTGGAATTTGGCGCACGTGGTTTGACAGAGACCTTAGCGCAGCCGGACAGGTTGTGTACTTGAAAGTAGGAATTCGCTCTTCATACCATTCTAATTTTGTCAAAGCAATATTCCTTTAGTTGTGTTTTGATTTAACTTTTTCTTTTGACAATCTAATTCATGTTGATGGCCATTATCACCTGCCACTTAGTGCCATATGGGGGGGATTTGGCGATAATTCAGTTACTTTTTTAATGCTCCTAAGTACTTGTGGTTAAGAATTAAAATTTAACAGTTAACTGAATAATCAAAAATGTTAACTAAAGAAGAAATGAGTCGTTTGCTAAATCAGATCATCTTTGAGCGAGAAGAAAGATGGAGTACCCGGAATTATTTATATAACGGTTTTCTAGGATGGTTTCATGAAGCGTGGCTTGGTAAACTTTTCTCGGCCGCTTATGTATATCCCGAACCTGGCCATCCACTTAACTTCTGACGTGGATAAGTTTGAGTGCAATAAGGAGGAGGAATTGAAGCCAATTTTAGCGACTTTGGCTGCAAATCAGTTGAATGATAATCTTGAGGTGTGAAGATTTGAAGGAATTCTATGTCGTAATTTCTGAGGCACCGGTTCTTTGGAATTCATTTGCTGTTTTGGATCGTGTGTAGCATCGTTGATATGATGAAAAGAACGAATTTGTTTTTGTGGTTTTGTAAAAATCTCTTTTAGGATGTTGGTGATCAGGCAAGTACAGATCGGTTGAACCCACACTCTATACTGGAAGAGCACCACTCGTCTCTGCTGAAGTTGTTGAGCGAAGAAACCGGTTGTGATCCTTCGTGTATTCTCGACTTTGACCTATACCTTTATGACAGTCAGCCGGCCGTAAGCATCGTTTTTTTTCAAGAAGAACTGCATCCTTTGTGCAGTTTATAACATTTTACCTGTCAGTTTTGTTCAAGATGGAAGAAGTTGTACGTTGGCTGTTGCGGTTCACCTCGTGTTATACTTTCCCTGTTTATTAGGAGACTGTTTAGAAAAAAGATAGCTTCGTTGCAGGGGTGAACATGTCGATAGATAACTTTTAATATTTCCTGAACTAAATTTTATTTTTTACTTTCGTTTTTTTAGGCAATTGGCGGTATTCATCAAGAATTTATAAGCTCACAAAGATTAGATAATTTGGTGGGCACTTACACCACTGTTTCTGGATTGTTGGAGAGTTTACGAATTAGCAGCTTAGCTGAGGAAGAAAATATTCGTTTTGCTGCGTGCTTTGATAATGAAGAAGTGCCGTATTTCTTAATTTCACTTTTTTTTACACCGGTTTCTGTTGGGTTGTTTTTGTGTAAGTTCTATCCATTATTTATCGAAGGTCAGATTTCAGGTTGGTAGCGGTTCGGCGCAGGGAGCGGAGTCAGCACTGTGTGAGTGGATTATGCGAAGGTTATCTGCTTCTAATTCGCAAAGCAGTTTTGAAGAAGCAATAGCTAATTCGTACCTACTTAGCGTGGATAACGCGCATGCTGTCCATCCTAATTATGCTAATAAGCATGAGGTCATTTAATTATTAGAAAACTTATCTTTACCTACTTGTGTGATTCTTGAATGGGAGAGAAGAACATGCTTTCGAAGCGTAAACCAGCACGCAACAGAATTCGATGTCTAATAATACATGAAAAACGATCCGCTTTGTTTCAGTAGGCTGCGCAGTTTGCAGCATATAGAAGCTTCATCGCAAACTTTTCGCTCTGTTTTTGATGTTTAGTACGTCTTATTTTAGAGAAATCACAAACCTACTCTTGACGGTGGTGTTGTTGTTAAAGTCAATGTTAATCAGAGGTATGCTACGACTTCTACCACACATGCAATCATTAAACATATAGCATCTACAGCTGGAGAGCCCCTCCAGGTAAGAATTGGCTCTAAATTGGTGTTTTTGCGTTTGGCTTAATATTTCCCTGATATATTGATTATAGAAAGTAGTTGTGCGAAACGATATGCGTTGCGGCACAACTGTTGGTCCAATACTGGCATCCAAACTTGGTATACAGACAGTGGATGTGGGATGCCCACAACTTGCTATGCATTCAGTTCGGGAGCTGATGCACGTCAATAGCATTTGTCAAGCTATAAAACTGTATTCGGTGTGTTTTGCAAAATTTCAAACTTTAAAGTTAAAGTTATCTGACTGTTTTAAAGGTTGTACCACGGCAAGTTATGAGGTTATGATAGTTTTTTCAGATTTACTTTGCTCAACTGCCATCAGTTCTGAAAATCCTGCGCTGATTGCGTCGAATATTTCGGTTTTTGCTTGATTCGTTCTTTTGCAAGTACCAGAGGAATATGAAAATATTTTACCTCTATGAATGCTGGGGATTTCATGTAAAATTTAGTAGTTGCAGTTATTATGCATCATTTTGTTCCACTGCTAAAGTTTTAGAAAGTAATATGGTGGTTAACAAGATGTGATTGCAAGACGAGGTCATGGCAGTTAGGGCAGGCAGAACCACTTGGCAGATGTTGCTTGATTTAGTACTCCCCAGTTAATGGTGTCAAGTTCGTAAAGAGCGAGAGGAACTTCACTTTTCAGTAGTGTGCGTTGGATCAGTACTGATATTCAAAAAACTTTGGCCCGCGTCCACCAGACAAGCTAGGTAAAAACTCCAATGAGGCTCGGTTGACTGTGTCATTCCCTTCTTGTATTCTCAGAGACAGAAACAGAATAGCCTTTTGACCAGAGGAAGTTGAGTTTATTGCAAATTTTTCAGACTTGTGTTCTCGTTTTAGACTGCGAGTGCAGCGCCATCTTTCTTTTCACGATCGAAATGTCAGTCAGGTACGGGAACTAATCGGAAGGAGATGAGGTTATTGCG